GCCTCGGCCGGGTCGGCTGGATGCGGTCAGCGGTGGCCCTGGCCGCGGCTCCGGCCTCACGGGGATGTCTGGCCCCCTCCCTCCCCTGCTCGGGCTGAGATGGCCGCCCAGCTTCTCCCGCTGAGGACTGAGGCTTGCGTGGTCCCTGAGCCAACCCTAAGGGCCCGAGCACCGGGAGAAGGGGCTTCCCTGGACGGTGGCCGTGTAAAGCCACCTGACCAGCTGCTGCAGGGCGAGAACCTCCCATCTGCTCATTTTGCCCCAGAAGCCCTCTTCTTGGGGTAAGATTTTAATTTCTTTAGACAGTGTTTCCAGTGCTTTCCAGGTCAGGTTCCAGGAGGATATCCTTGGGGCTGTGTGAGAATATTTTGTTCTTTTATTTAAAAAAAGCCATTCATGTAAGGGCAAGGTATAGCTCAGAGGCAGAGCGTGCTCAGCATGCTCAAGGTCCTGGGTTCAATTGCAGTACCTCCATTAAATAAACAAATAAATAAATAAATAAACCTAATTACCACATACACCCCCCAAAAAACCCCACAAACAAAAAAAAGTAAGGAAAAAAATTTTTTTAACTTTTTAAAAAAAGTCACTCACACGAGCATGAGAAACACGGGTCTGCGTCCCCGAAGACGCGAGTCGGCAGGTGGATTCTTTCTCTCAGTAGGGGTGGTCTGGTGAAGTAAGGGACAGCTGGGGCTGTTTCTGTATCTCATTTCAAACGCTTTTAAAAAAATAAAACAAAATAGAGAAGCATAAAGAAGAAAACCAAAAATAGCCCATAATCTCACACCCAGATCATCTCTGCTGGGATGAAAAAGTAATTCACGTTCCAGGTTCAGATACTCACACGCCCAGAGGACTAGGGGATGGACAGTGAAGCTGTGTCACGCGCGTGTGCGTGCGTGTCTCCACACAACGTGTGCCGCCAGCGTGGAGGTCCTGGTTTACAGGAACAGACTGTCGTGTCCGGGGCATCCTGGGCTTTTACAAAGCTTCATGGCGTCTTTCTGTCCCCCTGGATTTTAAGGTCTACGCAGTATTCCACTCGACAACACCCGTTGTCTGCAGTCTACACAGTGAACAACACGCCCTGTGGCGTCTGCACGGCAGTCTGTGTACCGCTCACTGGAGGTGCTCCCACCCTGGTCACAGGCCCCTGGGCTGTCTTGGGCCTGTCTGGTCTGCAGGTGTAAGTTGTGAATGTCACTGCATGTTGGTCTCGATGAACGTCGTGCGTCACTGACATGGAATTCACAGCAGCTGCACTGTGGCCTTAAGGAGCGAGTGCCCCCACGCTGGTCGCTGTCGCTTCGGCAGGGCCCCCGCTCGCCGCCGCAGCGCCTTGGGGTGAGCCAGCCTCCCCGCCGCCTCCAGCACAGGCGGAGGCCAGGCGCGTCTCCGTGCCGCGTTGGTGGGGTGAGGGGGACGCTGTCCTGGGTCTGAGCCCCGAGTGTCGCAGTGACCGGCCCGTCAGGGCCTCGGCCTTTTTTCTCGCTAAGGTGTGTGGGTTTGCCGTGATGCAAGGAGATTCGCCCTTGGTCTGGTCGTATTTATTGCAGATGCCTTCTCCCAGTTTGCACTGTTCTGACTTTTTTAACTGGGCTGCTTTTTCTCTACACAGAAGCTTCTGACGTTTATAGGATTAAGGCAAACCCGTC